ACTCGGACGTTGCCGCTGCATCACCGATGCATCGGCGACGCGGCGAAATCCTCCGACCCTATCTACTCCGACCCCGTCTGGGACACATCTACTTGTCCTCGTCCAGTATCGAAGACGCGTACGGCGAGCCACCGCCGCCCCCTCCCTTCGGAAGCGCTCGTGTGGTGAAATGTCAAGCGGCGTTGCGGCCACGCCTTCTTCAGCCTTCTCGAGGGCCTCCTGGTACCCTCTTGGGCCATCTTGGGACTCTAGGGCCGTCTGGCGCTATCGGAGGCCGTATTGTGGATCTCTTGGAGCGTCTTGTTTTTATTTTCGTGTTTTCATGGGGCCAATGTGGGCCCCCTTGGGCTGATCTTGGTGCCTGTGGGGCCACCTTGGACGCTCCTTATACAGAGAAGGCGAAATCATAAAAACATTGAACCGCCCAAGAAGTTCAACGATTTCGGCACCACGTGCCGGTCCCAGGGGCCCCCAAGATGGCCGAAGAGACCTAGAATAATCCAGCTTGGACCTGTTGGATGCCATTCGGGGGCCACCCCGCTCGTCTGGGAAGCATGTTGGAGGTGATCTTGGGCCGTATTGGAAGCCATCTCGTCTACTTGAAGACGAGCTTCATTGATTCTTGCGGTCGGCCAGACCCTCTCCGCGAGGCCGGCGGATCAGGCCAGAGGCCATGTTCGGGAGCCTTGAGACGGGGGTCAACGCAGACGGGGGTCAGCCAGAGCGCCCGATCCTGCAGGATCCTGCAGGGCCAGGGTCGCACTGACCCTGGTTTGGGTGCAAGATCCTGCAGAATCTTGCAGGATTCTTCGCGTTGGCCCGGGTTTGGGTGCAGGATATTGCAGGATCCTGCAAGGCCTGATTGACCCGGGTCTGGATTGACCCGGGTCACAAGGTCCCCGACATGTGATATTTCTTTGGGTTTCAAGCAATCGAGCTGCAACCAAAAGACGAGTTTGCCAGCGTGGACCCCAAACAGTGCGTTTTCGTTGCGTTGTGGGTGCGCAAGTTCCGTCGAGGTGCTCACGGGCGCCCGCCGGGCGAAACTTGAGGGGGCCCAGCCCGCGCAAGTGATCGTTGTCTTATTCATTGTTTTTCCGATCGGCGCGGGCCCGGGTCGCACCCCTAGAGGTTGACACCAAGACCAATTTGGGCGGTGTGCCTCCACCGAGGGAAGAAGATCCCGATCTCGGTGATGGTGGTAATATTCTGGCTTCCAAGGTGGCCGAACTATTACTACCAACACCGAAATCTAGGATCATCTTCCCACTGTGGAGGCAACCCCCTGTGTTGGTGTTGGTGGCCATTTCCAGGCCTCCAAGGCCCTCGCCCCCCCCCCCCCCTCCCCCGTGGAGCAGATCTTGGCTGTTTGGGTCGCCTGTTTCGAGCAGGTGGAGGCCCTCCCACATCGGACACGTCGTCACGAACGATCGCATGAGGCAGAGGTCCAGAGCAAGACACCCTCCCCCCGCCCCCCCTCTTCCGCCTAATGCAGTTGTCTTGTTGTTGCCCCCCCAAACAAATTCAGAGGGTACCGTGCGCGCCCACTCTTTGACGTGCTCTGTCCCCCAGAAAAAAAAACTGGCTTCTGCCGTGGGGCATCTCTTCTGTCTGTGTTCCTGCTTACTGCAACGCCGAAGAAGAAAACGCTCACAAGCTTGAGCGGACCCGGCCCGCGCAAGGCCCTGGCATCGCTCGGACGTGTGCGTTTTTTTCCTCGGCGAGGACCGTCGAGGAGCATCCATGACCGTTTGCCGAAAAAAACACGCACGAAACCGAGCAAAAACACAGGGAATGGACGTCCGAGCGATGGCCAGTCTACAGCAAGAGCATTCAAGGATAGTGAGAACATAGTCTGGTGACGGTTTTCGTGTTCTTGTGATCGTACAACAGGTATAGTTTGACAAGTTCCACTATTCTTGCACGACCCGCCTGTAGGAGGACATGCCCGACCTACGGCTGGACCGACGGCTTGTGCTCATGCTGTTTGTTTAGTTCTCCTGTCGCCACCAGTTCTCAGGAGATTCTGGACGAGCGATGGCGAGAGGCGCGCCCGCGAGGCGCCCACGGGGTGCCCACCGGGCGACGCCTCGGAGCCTCGACCGGACCCCGCCAAGCCCCCGGGGGCACGCACGAGGCGCGCGCCCACTCGGGCCCCCACGAGGCGAGGCCTCGGCGGACCAGGCCAACACCGATCCTCCTCCTCCTCCTCCTCCTCCTCCTCCTCCCTCCCCCTCCTCCTCCCGGCCTAGCCAACACGAACCACTGGGTGCAAGGGAACTGGTGTAGGAACTACCGTGCGTCTCAGATGCGCGGCTCCGATCGACTTGGATACGAGCACGGATGCGAACGGGCATGCTGACCTGGATCCGAGCCCCGATCGGGGAAGGCCCGAGCGCACGCCGGGCACAGCGTCGCAGGCCAAGGGAGCGGCGGATCGAGCCTCCGGCGAATCACCGCAGCCCCTTGCCATCCTGGGAACGCTTGTAGCCTGCGTGGTAAAGTGTCGAGCGAAGGTACGACCATGCTAGTGGACTGCGTGAGGCCATCTGGGGTCATATTGGTGCTGTCTTTGGGGCTCCTCGGGGGCCTTCTTAAAAGCATCTTCGGCACTCTCGGGAAGCTCTGGAGCTTTCTTGAGCCAGATTGTCCGGAGCGAAATAAGGACGTACACATAAACGAGTCCGCCCGGAAGTACGCATTGCGCGAACGTTCGTATCACGAGGCTGGTTTCGCGGACTGGGGGGCCGTATTCATGTACGTGGTTGGGCGTGTACGTCTTTTGTGTGTTCCCTGAGTTTGGGCCATGAACGGCGCTCTTGCATCGTCTGGCGCCGTCGAAGGCTGTCTCGGGGGTCTCTGGGCCCTCTCTGCGGTCATTCTGGGCCGTCTTGGGGCTCGAAAAATCGGCAGAGGGGATCTCCCACCCCTACGCGCGCTGGCAAACAACGATGACACAACGGCGACGGACGACGACGACCACGACGACCATGACGACGACGACGACGACGACGACGACGACGACGACGGCGACGGCGACGGCGACGGCGACGGCGACGGCGACGGCGACGGCGACGGCGACGGCGACGGCGCTGATGGCTGCGAAAGCGACGACGCCGCGGGACATTCAAGGCGGCGAGATTGTCGGGCGGGCAGGGCCTCATCAGGCGGGTCTCGCAGGCGGGACATGCGAAGCGTGGTTGCGGCTTCTCGAGCATTCGAGTGGGTGGGTTGGTTGGGCCGCATCCGAGCACGCGGATAGGACAATGGAGCGGACGGGCGAGTTTGGGAAGCAGTCGAGCGGGTGGCGCTTCGACGGGCGGGTCGGGCGGGCAGGACCCGATGGGGCGGTCAGGCGCGCGGGACTGTAAACGCGGGCGGGCGTCACTTTCGATCATTCGAGCGGGCGGGACCTAACGTTGGCGCTGGGGGGGGCCGAGCGGGATCCTTTCATCCTTGGGTGTCCAGTCGTTTTGGGGTGTCACATGTGGTGTCGCAAATGGAGGGAGGCCGTGCTGGGGACGCACACTGGCGCCATGCCATTCTTGCCCGCTCTTCCAGGAGATTCTACTTGCTCCCGCATTCCCGTGTTACTGAAGGTTCTGCTTGGGCCCTGGATTTAATACAGTCTGCGCGCTGTATCGAAGTCGCAAGTGGGACGGAGGAGGCGGCGGAGGTATGGACATCACAGCACGATCGGAGGAGACAGGAGGAGGGGGAGTTGGAGGAGGAGGAGGATGAGGAGGAGGAGGAGGAGGCGCACCAGCGGTACAAGCTTGTAGCAGCAGGAACATCAGTATGAGGTGGGGGACGGGTAAGTGGAAGAGCAGTCGGATGATGCGGCTGCTCACTAACATGACGCTCTCCGTGGTCGTGTTTGCTCGTTGAGGAGAGGCAGCGGGAGGCGGCGGGTGAGAGTGGGCACGAGGGCCAATGGGAGGAGCAGGAGGAGCAGCAGGAACTGGGAGCAGGATCGGCAGCAGTTCGAGGCTCGCTCGAAGAGGAGTATGCCCTGAAACATCCATCGAAGTCGACTCTCGCGTCTCCTCGGGGGTCCGTCCTGGCCAGCTTCTCGAGCTGCGCCCAGAGCCGTGGCCGCGAGGGCCCCCCTGGAGGCGCGGAGCGGCCACAGACGCGCAGAGGTCCCCGATCCCCTCGCGGGGAGGCGGAGGAGCAGGAGCGGCGTGCGGAGCAGGATCTCGCGGAGCCCTCACGCCTCCTCTGTCCTCCTCCTCTGTCCTCCTCCTCCTCCTCCGCCTCCTCCTTCTCCTCCTCCTCCTTCTCCTCCTCCTCCTCTGTCCTCCTCCTCCTCTGTCCTCCTCTGTCCTCCTCCTCCTCCTCCTCCGCCCTGAAGAGGCCAGGGCGTCTGTCCACCGCGACCTTGGAGGGGACGCGACGGATGGTGCAAGGCGGCGAGTGTCTACCCACCAGGCCCGCTGCCTGGAGGCCCAGGCCAAGGTGGCCAAGGTCCTCAGCCTCCGCGAGGCTGGAGCCCCGACGGGTGGAATTTTTCGGGCGGGAGTCACCGCCAAGGCTCTCTGGGGGGCCAACATCCAGGGGCTGCCTGATGGGAAGCTGAAGAGTTTAAGAGTTGCGGCGGTCAAAGCCGAGGGGAGGCTGCCCAAGGGATGCTCGCTCGGATTGGCTTCGATGTGCACGCGTGGGGGTTGGCCGCGAGATCCCTTGGCGCAGGTCTCGGCAGACGCGATCAAGACGTATGTTCAAATTCTAAAGGATGGCAGACTGTCTGAGCGCGTGCTATCAGTTTTGTTTGCAAAGGCCCAGGAGGTCGCCCAGAGGCCGAAACCTTGGACACTTGTCAAGGACCCTGTGTCCGCCCTGGTCTTAACCTGCCTGAGGATCGGGTTTGTTTTTTCAGGGACCGTTCTCGGTGCAGGAGGCCCAGGGGCAGGTTTGGGACCTGACTCAGGTCTCGGCCGCGTTCATGGCCAGGCGCGCGCGTTTTTCGGCGCGGCGATCTTCGGACCTAGCGGCCTTGGGCAACATCGGACCAGGCAAGGCCTGGCGCGCAGAACTTTTTTGGCGACCGCTGAACGAGCTGCTGCATCGAAGGATCGGCGGGGAGGGCGAGGCGGTTGGGTCGGGTGGTCCGTGGGGGGTCAGGGAGCAGCGTACGCTCCGAGGACTCCTCATGGGTTCTCATTGGTGCCAGCACAGGCTCAGCGAACATAATCCTGAGCTGGCGCCAGAATGCCTGGTGTGCGGTGAGCGAGGCACTTTGTTCCATCGCCACTTTCAATGCCAGGCTAGGTCGGCCTGGCGCCGCGACAATCTTCCCGTGTGTGTGTGCAGCGAGCAGCCAGCAGAGTTTCGACTTGCAGCATCGAGCTGCAAGAGCGGTTTTCCCGAGGAAACCTTCCTGACCCGTGCCAGCTTCTGGCCAGGAAACCCTGGGATCCTTCCACGGAGTTTCGCGTTGACGGAGGCCTTGCTGGGCCGCTTATGCTTTCCGAGGGGCATGTTTTCTGTGATGGTTCAGGCCTAGATGGACTGTTCCCGTCCATGCGTGTTGCTGGATGGGGAGTCACCGTCTTCGATGAGTCACGCAGGTGTATAGCGGAGTGGTATGGCTATGTGCCCCCAGCCACCTTGCCTGATCAGGTGGCGCGTGACGGCGAGGACTATAGTGTTTTTATCGTCTCGAAGCTGTGCGCAGGCGATTTCACGCTGTACTATGACTGCAAGGGAACGATAGACTGCTGTAACAATAGGGTGCGCTCGGTTTCCTCGGCCAACCCCAGGGCCCACCTCTGGTTGCAGTCTTGGGCTTCGGGAGGCCTTGAGGGGGCCAGGTTTAAGAAGGTCCCTGCTCACGCCTCGGCCAAGGATGTCAGAGACGGCCTCTTGTCTGATTTCGAGCGCACAGGTAACCATGGAGCTGATAGGCTGGCCAAGTTGGGGGCCTCGCTTGTCCAGCACGATGAATGTGACACCCTCCTGGCCAAGGGTTGCCTGTGCCTGGCCCGTGAGGTGTTGCGGTTTATAACTCGTGCTGAAGTTTACTACAGTGAGCTGGGGGTCCACGACAATGTTGGCGCCCAGGGCCTGTCTTTGGTTTCCCTGGACCTCCCCTCGGACCACGAAGCTCGGCTCGAGTGGGCTCGGGCCGAGGATGAGGCAGCTGCGCCCCCCCCTTGTGAGGGGGCCCCGTCGGTCCCTGACCCTGCGGCTGCCGCCTCGCTGGAGAGATTCCTGGATAGGGCGTCCGAAGGCACGCAGCCGTGGAAGGCGGGGGGCCACTGCCTGTTAGAGTTTCCTGTGGAGTCTTCGGAGGAGGGAGAGGATCACCCGCCCCTCCTCTTTTGCTCCACCTGTGGCAGCTACGTCACGACGGTCACAGGTTCCAGGGGCTTGCATTCTGGATGCCAGGGCTTGGCTCATTCGTTGATCGGCCCTGGTAAGAAGAACGCGTCGAGTTTTTTAAAGCTCAAGCACCCGAGTCGGGCGCGACGGCTGGGACCCCCGAAATCTCCTGGGGCTCTGGCTCGCGAGCTTTTCGGTTCTCGGCTCCTGGTCGGAGGTTTGGGGTCCCAGCCGACGCTTTGGACTTCGAGAGCCCAGCAGTTTTCGGGAACCGCCACTCTCTGCTTGGCTGACTGTCTCCAGGCTTTTGGGCTGAATGAGGTGGAGGCCCGGAGCTCGGGCGAGAGTTCCGTGGCCAACAGGCTGCTGCTGTCGAGCTCGACGATCAGTTTTCCTAAGGGGGCCCTGTCGCTGGCCCACGGTGCGCTGCCTATGCCGAGCCGCACCGTGGTGACAAAAAGGTCCTCTCCGATGGGCCCCCTTAGGGTTTTTGAACCCGTCGGACTCTCTCTCTCTCTCTCTCTCTCTTCTCCCCCTTAGTGGCGTGCAATCCTCCTCTGTCCTCCTCCTCTGTCCTCCTCCTCTGTCCTCCTCCTCCTCCTCCTCCTCCTCCTCCTCCTCCTCCTCCTCCTCCTCCTCCTCCTCCTCCTCCTCCTCCTCCCCAACCTCAGGAGCCTCCCTGGACCCCAGAGGCCGCCGAGGGCCTCCGAAGGCCTCCGACGGGCGCGCCGAGCGCGCGGCGGGCCGCAGGCGCCGCGGGCGCCGCGGGCGCCGCAGCGCCGCGCCGGCGCCGGCGCCGGCGCCGCGACGCGGCGGGAGGGCGGGCCGCGCGAGGCGCGGGGGCGGCGGCGCCGAGCCCGCGGGCGCCTCGGGGAGCGCAGCGGCGGCGCAGGCGGCGGCAGCGGAGGCGGCGGCAGCGTGGGCGCGGGCGGCGGCGACGGAGGCGGCGACGGCGGCGGCGGCGGCGGTGGCGGACGGCGGCGGCGGCGGCGGCGGCGGCGTCGGCGGCTGCGCAGGCGGCCGCGGCGGCGGCGGCGGCGTGGGCGTGACGGCGGCGGTGGCGATGGCGGACGACGAGGACTCAGAGCCTGGACTCAGGACTGGAGGACGAGGACTCAGGACTGGAGGACGAGGCGATGGCGGCGATGGCGGCGACGGCGGAAGACGAGGACTCAGGACTGGAGGACGTGGCGACGGCGGCGGCGGCGATGGCGGACGGTAACTCGGGTCAGGGCTAACTCGGGTTCGTTTGTCGGGAATCCGAAGCCGAGTTACCCCAGGCCCGAGCTGCCCCGGGTAATTCGGGCGTCCATAGAGCCCCAACAGAAATTACTCGGGTCAGGGCTAGCTCGGGTCCGTTTTTCGGGATTCCAAACCCCAGTTATTCCGGTCCCGAGTTACCCTGGATAACTCGGGGGCCTTAAAGACGTGGACGTCTTCATTTCTCGGAGTTCTCTTGGCGATTCTGGCGGCCCGTCATCGCCACGATTGGGCGCGGCTTCCAATTCTCTCTATTCCATCCCTCCCCCAATTCCGTCTATGTTCCTACAGCTGTTTTGTTGTGAATGTGTACAGCTTGGGTCTCTCTCTTTCTCTTTCTCTTCCTCCTGCTCTCAATTC